CCCCAAAACCCCAAAACCCCAAAACCCCATCTGACATAAATTTACAAAAAGTGTGGATAAATTTAATAGATCAAATCGAAATGGAATTGGCAAAAGCAGCAAAGCACTCAGTACACACTCTCAACCAGCTCTAAAGACTAGAGTAGAAATGGCTTCAGCTGCACAAACTCTACATTTAACAGGCTAGTTCGCATACCTAATAGCAATGGTGGAATAAATTCACTTAGCTTTACCATGAGCCCTAGAGATTTTATCATAATCTGTACCATTTGAACAAGCTTTATGATTTCTATGAGTTAAACATATTATAAAGCAATCCTGAGTTGCTTAAATCAGACTCAGATCACTCAACATTTCTGCTGTCTCTCTGGTTCCATGACGCAATCTATGATCCCAAGCAAAAAGACAATGAAGAGTAAAGTGCTGCACTATTCAATTAATATGTGAACGAGATCAATTTGCCAGAAGCTTAAGCTAAACTAGTTCAAAACATCATAATGGCCACAGTGAAGCATTAGATTGATAGTAGTTAACTCACTTCAGATCAAGATATATATCTCTGTGGAGTGTTTCTAGATGCAGATCTAAGTGTGCTTGGATGGGAGACATCTGACTATAATGAGTATGCTGAGAGGATTTGGTAAGAGTATAGTTTCTACGGCTGGGAACCTTATTGTAAGGGCAGAGCTGCTGTTTTAAACAAGATGCTTGAAAAGGAATCGTTATATTTTACCAAGGAAATAAGAGATAGCTTAGAGGGAAAAGCAAGGTAGAATATAAGAGAGGAAATTGCGAGGTTAGAAAAAGGAGAGAGACTTGACATTCATATTGAGATGTGACGATAATTAAGTAGAAGTGACGTTATATATTTAGTTATGGGTTAATTTAAAATAACTCTACTTTAAATAATCAAATTCTATTTAAAGATATTAATAATGAGTTACTTAGTAAATTTATATTTATCAAATAGTATAGTTTAAACTCTCTTAAGAACTATGATGTTTTAACCCAAATATTGTTCAGCTTTTGGCAAAACTGAATAGTAAACTCAAACTCAATTCACAAAGGATATATATAATCCCTCTTCACTGGTAATCCATTCACTACCCTTAGCTGTTTACTTAGTCCAAAATAAGATTCTTGTTAATAACTTAATCATTTTCAATTTATTTGCCAACACTTTTGACATCTACATTATTTTGCTTTTAGTCTTAAACTTTGGACATCTGAGGCATGACTCCAGATCGCTTCCTCTTGGAGATCTGCACTCCGTCTATCATTTCCACATTAGGCAGTGTCTAGTTATTTTTAGCCATTGATCCTTGGTATAAAGGAAGCTGTAGATTAGCAGGTTCTGCAGGCTAAGTGGACTTTAGAGCATCAATATAAGAATTAGAGCTGTTGATTCCCTGACTGGCTAGAAATAGCATTATTGTGACTCCTAGGCAAATGACCATTATTAGAGCATAGAAGACAAATAAAGTAGATTTGTCAATAACCTCTAAAGTCTTACCATCCCTTGCCCCAAATAAGGTCTTCACAGCCTCCATCAAACCACTGTGCTTAGGTTTGACAAGAAGATGCTATTTCTCCAAAGCAACATTTCGCTTCTCCTATCTTTGCTTCGATCTGAGTATCTTTGCTTGATTCTTTTCAATGATAGATGGGCCAGGAAACTGAGATCCAGCATCTGCAAACTTAGCCTGTCTCTTTGTAATCTTAAGCTCTTAGGCCATCTCATACTCCTCCTTCTTTTTATCTCTTAGCTATTCCAGCTTCTTGATAATCTCTTCGCTCTTCAAAGCTTGCTCTTATTTTTAGATAATTGAGGGTGTCATCATACTGGATATGCGAGAGCAACAGGCACCAGTTTTTAATTAGTTAATGGCAGCACCCGAATTGTTGTTAGCGGGTGTAGGGCAAGCCAACGACTCAGGATCTTCCTGAAGCAAGCTCTGGGTCTCGTCCTCGGAGAGGAGTTAAATAGATTCAGGTTCGGGGTAGTGAAACAAGAACACCGAACGGTTGAATCTGAACCAACTCTCCTCTTCCTTTCTCTGCTCATATTGGCTCTCTTATTTAAGTCCTCTCATATTTTCACTCGCAATATATTATTTTATTTACAATTCAAATGTATTTCTCTTAAATTTAAATTATTATACGTAAGGGGTTTTGGGGTTTTGGGGTTTTGGGG